GTGCCACGTGTTGAAGGTTGAGTAGTCAGTTTTTAAACACTACACACTTTCCCGCCCATTCGAATTTGTATTAACATGAATTGTCAAATTCCTTGTCAACCATAGATTGTACACAAATCATTATTCATTGTGTGACACAGGCAGACTTAAAACTTGAATCCAATGGGGGTTAGCACTTACGAATATATTTCCAACAGCAAAATAATGTATTAACATTAGAAGTGTTACAATGTTTTAAAATAAATTTAGAACTGACTTAATTCAAAGAAATAAAAGTTGGAAGGAAGATTCATTGGCTGTCCATTATCCCTCGTGCCTCAATAGACAGGAATGGACGTAGCAAGTTTGTATTCCTAAACTAAAACCCTACCTCCGATCGATTTGTGTGACTCTAATTCATGAGGATATAAAAACCTTCCAAGATTTGATATAACTCAACATCAAAGCTATGAAGTAACAAGAATCCAGTTAATAGATAAAAACCTCTAATTGTTTCAATAAGAAATTATATTTATAATCAAACTATATTCATATAAGTCATCCTTAAAATATTTATCTTTTCATTAAATTTTATTATCCCCTCATAATTTATGTTCTCAATTTGCATCCCTAGGAACCCCCTTAATATACTTTATACATATGGATTTCTCTAAAATATGAAATTTCTTTGTGTTCAAAGCCGTAAACATTACCCCATTATCGACACAGGAGCACAAATTTAAAATTTGTATTATATTACTTTCTATTAATTAAAAGTTACATATCCAAGTCATAATAATTTTTTGGCTGAAAAAGTAACAGAAAATCAAAGCTAAATATGCTCGTAGCAGAAAATCAAATCTAAAATGAAAGTGTAATCTTACATATACTGCAGATATTTGTGTGTGTGTTTAAACACTAATGTAACTGATTTGTGCAAGAACGGGAAAATAACAAAAAAGGAATCAACTTGTAACCTAAAGCATGATTCCCATGACATTTGACATCCTCACCACAAATTTAAAAGATAAGCGCATTTGCCCTTTCAATCTCAATCCAAATTTTCAATTCCGTGCTGATTAATTACGCATCATACATCAAAAATCCATTAAAATCCCCAACATTTTTATTAATTTAGTAGTAATTCTCAATTTTCGTTCCATAACCAGTCGAGATAGAACAATATAATAAGGAAAGAAGATGAAGTGCGATTGTGAATATACAAATTCACCTGATACCACTATCTAAACGTTACTTAAATTGCAACTAATTAAATTGCAACAGAATAGAGAAGTAAAGTTAGAATTCAGTCACAGCTTGACGAAGGCCTACCCAACTTCTTTTTGACTTCTTTGAGGTCAACGAACCCGTAGCCATCAACATCGACGGATCTGATCATTCGTCGGCAGTCCTTGAGGCTACACTTCTCACCGATGCCGTTGAGTACCGAGTGCAACTCACTCGCCGAGAATTTTCTTTTCCTGTCCTTGTTGTGCACTTCCTTCAACTCCCTATTGTCCCCACTGCCACAGAAGACCGCCTTGAACTCGTTAATATCAACGGAACCATCGCCGTGTGTGTCTAATTCCAACATTATGCGCTTCAATTCCTCCTCTCCAGTTTTCGGGCCGACCGCCTTCAACATTTCGCCGAGTTCTGATAACGAGATTTTGCGATTTCTCTCGCTGACGATTTTCTTGAATGTCACTGTAAACAAAATCGATGGTTGTTTCGAGCTTTGCTCCATGGTTAGAGAAATTGAATGAACCGTAGGGATTTTTTCTAGGGTTGCCGGTGAGTATTTATAGTGACGGGTCAAGCGGTTTCGTACGCAAAATGGGAGGGTTAATTTAGGGCAGGACAAAACTTTAGAATCGGACCGGACCGAACCGGACCGGACCGAATCGAATCGAACTGAACTGAATCAAGCGGTTGTTCATAAGTTAAATAATCGAACGGATATCTGAATCGAGAACCGACGGGTTTGGTTCGATTCTCGATTCTAGACCTAGAACCGAATTTAAATAATTATTTTAATTTTTTATATTGAATTAATTAATTTTTTCTAAACAAATTAGCAAATTAATCGATTTAGTGATTAATATTCTAACTCCCAATCCAAGTCCATGCATAGCTAGCCCAGCCCAACCCAACCCAATTTCTAAATTCAATTTTTTGGACTTATTATTAATTTCATTCTTAGCCCAGGGGTTAGGTCTTTTTAAGTTTTTATCATTCTC